ACACATTTTCAGCGGAATATGTGTCACTATAGCGGTGCTAACACCAAAAACATGACACATTTTCCGCTCACCGAAAGCTACCTTCCCACGCAAAGCTCAAGATGGGCCATAGTCCAAACTCCTTAGACATGTTATAAGAGGGTTATATATGGATCCTAAAATGTATAGGGCTCATGACTTATGAGTGGGGATAAGTCCAAACCTCAGGCACTGCAACCCCACGACGCACTCTGGAGCCTACCGAAGACAACCTTCACGACTTCACGAGATGAACTATAGTCTAAACTCCTCACAGAGGTTATACAGGTGGTTATATCAGGTTCCGAATATACGGCTTTGTGAATGGGGATGTGCGGAGCCTAGACTATAGCTAACATTGAAACCTCAACCTGAAGCATCTAAAGCCTGAACCCAAGCCCCAAAGTCCAAACATCTAACAACGCAACCCCGCGACCCATTCTGGGTCCTACCGAAGACAAGCGTCCCAAGCAAACACAAGATGAGCCATAGTTTAAACTCCTTGGGTAGGTTATAAAAAGGGATATATACGGTTTCTAAAATATACAGGTTGTGGCCTTATGAGTGGGGATGTAAGGAGCTTAGACTATGGCTCAACTTGAAACCTCAACGTGAGGCTCCTCAACGTGAGGCCCTTCAATCCCTAAACCCAAGCACCGGTCCAAACCTCAAACACTGCAATCCCACGACCCAGTCTGTAGCCTACGAAAGACAGTCTTCCCAAGAAAAACATAAGCTGAGCCATAGTCTAAACTCCTTAGAGAGGTTATAGAGGGGGTTAGATGAGTTTCCTAGTATAGCATGTTTGAGGGTGAATGTAAGGAGCTTCGACTATAGCTTAGAGTAAACCTGAACTTGAAGCACTTCAACCCCAAAACCGAAACCCCAAACTCCAAACCTCAAACACCGTAACCTTTTGAACGTACGACAAAAAGTCGTAATTTTGGATTGAAGGATATTACACAGGGGTGGTACTCCTATGTTGGATCAGGGCCATATTACATACATTCCCAGTAAACAACACAAGTAGGGGTTTGCTCGGAACCTACCGACCCTGCAACCTTTACTGATGTGGCAAACTTCACACGAGACCGTAATGCGGCGCAGCAACGCATTCCTCAATCGGTGTAGCAATCGATTCTCTGACATCTTCCGGCAACAAATCCAGAATGTCGCCGAAGACACATGCTGTGGGAACTCAGCGCAGAGGGGTGTGCTTGATCCAGGGGTTAGCTCGCACTGCAAATCGTGACCCCTGAGGGCTTGAGAGCGTCTAATCATTTGGAGGGTCCCTACACACTAGGTAATCGTAGCGGGGGTTCCCATTTTGGGGGCTGCCATTTCTAGATCCTCCCAAGAAGCTGCACAACTAAGTACCTGACAGGTTTCCTTCAGAACAGAACGGCATTGGGCATCAATGTCCGCGCAATACATCATGCGTGGGCGTCTGCTGCATCCCATAGCACTCATGACACTCTGCAGCGCACATTCTGCGCATCCGCTTCCAGAGAACTCTGATAAAAAACAGACATCCTGATTATGGACACGCTTGCGCAGCTCAGGAAAAGCTGCCTGCGCACGTTGCACAAACTTCTGACTCCATGCGAAAGGGGCTAAATCGAGGCCACCACACAAATCTTCCAGCTGTTGGTGCGAGGGAAAAGCAATCTCCGCACGTTGCTGGCCCCTGCCGCCCTTGCACTTTAACGATTTCTGAGCCACCTTGCGCTTTGCAGTTCCAGCAGCGCTGCTCCGATGCGAGGCTAGCGACAGGAGTGACATATCAAAGCCAGACGCCAAATCGACATGTTCCCCCATGGCTGCAGCCACGTAGCTGGCTAGAATTCCTAACCTGCGGTCACCCCAAAATTACTGATGGCCTGTCTATCTTGAGTCAGGACCCACTCTCCATGAAACAAGCCTCTCTCAATCTAGCCAGGACACTGAGGCACAAAAGTTGTGTCCAAAATGAGATGAAGACGACCAAACACAATGCTGGCATGAATGAAGCTGGCAACGACCTGAGAATGGATGGCAACTCAGACTCACACTCTTGTTTTCACAGCAACACACGGACAGCGTCCACGTAGAAATTAACGACAACATCTTCAGCCGTTCGCTTGCGGCTGTAACACAAACCTACGCCCCAAAAGCGTCGACCAGCAAGGTCTACTCTAAGTAGTGCTTCTCGAACCTGATCTCTTGAAGGACGTGTGCACCAATCATCGTCAAGCATCACCTGCCTCAAGTACGGAAGAGCTATCTCAACCACTGCCTTATGACCAGCAGTCTGCACTCGCGGCTCAATCTCGACAGGATCGGGCTCTGGACGGTTGCGTAGCTCCTGGAGCCTAGCAGGCCCTGCCATTCCGAGCCTTCCCTCTTCCCCAATCAGGACCGCACCATCGTGGCGCGCAGCAGCGCCGGCGCCAACATCTAGGTCACCAGCATTTTCCTTGTCAGACCTTACGAGCTTGAGTTCGTGGCTGACGGGTTACGGACTTGCATGGAAGAACACACGCTTGCAGCACGACTGGGACAAGAGGCTCCAGATCGCGGCCATTGATGTCCATATGGTCATCAGATTCATCAGCATCATTGGAATCATCATCCAAGAGTACTACTTCTGGGGCTGGAATGTCAGCTTGATTTCTGCCTGGCAAAGGCCTGCAAGGTGCCTTAGCCTTAGCACGGCCTTTGGATTTAGCAGGCGCTGCCCGCCCAGGGCCACGCCCCCGCCCGCGTCTAACCCCCTGGCCTACTTCTGCATTGGGAAGACGAAACCATTCAGGGTTGCGCGAATCTGTCCTAGGGTCTGTTTCACATTTGCCTTGCAAGAAGCGGCCCACCTCAGCATAACCAGCTGCAGTCATATTTCGCGGGATAGCGAACAATGCCTTGCTGTCCACGTGTCAGGGCACACTCAAGCATTCGGTTAAACTTACTTTTAACAGCAGCAACAACAACAACAACAAGCCAAATCAGCCCAAGCACGACATCTTCGTGCTGCCTAGCACAGGCAATGTGAAAGCATTCATAATACCCTCCGGCCATCACAGCGTGGGAGAATGCATTTGCTTGTTCATGTCGTTCGACACAAGCAGGTCCTTAGATGCCGGCAGGAGCTTATGAGAGTAGGGTTTCAACTTCAAGAAGACGGGCTTGGGAGGGGAATAGCAAAGTCTAGAAAATGACTAGAAGCCAAGCTTCTATCTAGAAGCAGTGCCAAGTACTGTCTGAAAGCATTCTTTTCATTGTAGTGACGGGTTGAAGCTGCGGCTGTTGACGCTGGCCCGGAAGACCACCCCTTCTTGAAAAGTTTGCGTCGTAAACCCCATACACTGTCTTGTAGATTGTCCGTTGGCCCAGACACTGGCCGTGGCCCTTCTAGTATGGTTGTTGTCTGGAGGGCGGCTGATAAGAGCACAAGCTGACCTTGCGCGGTGTAAGACGCGAACTCATGGCCGACGAGCCATTCTGCAGCCGCACGATCTTTATCGTGCAAGGATACTGGCTTCCCAGAAGCACCAACTTTCTTTCCAAGTTGCAGGATCTTATCCCTTGGCTCACACAGAATCCGCGCAGCGTGAGAGAACAGGTTGCAACATCGAGTGTGGAACGCAGAACACACGCAACTTGCATCAATGCCTGGCCAGGTGCGTCAAAACAAGGTCCGGTGACGCTAGCTGCTTTCTGGCATCCCCAGAATCACAGGATTCAGCTGCAGATGCCAAACTGATTTGGCTGCTTGCGCGTCTGACAGGGCGACACTGGACATCGCTTTGCTGGGCTTCGTCATTGCCGTATGTGTCTTCCATGAGCTGAAGCACCGCGTCTTCTGCGAAGTGGCAAGCGGCCTTGCGACAACTGAACTCGTAAATGTTCTCGAATTTAAACCTGAACAGTTTCTGCACTGGAAATGATTCCACACTGCTGGTGCTGGCAGCGAACGTATAGTCAGCAGGAATGGGGCACAACTGGCTCTCCTCAGCTCCCTCTTGCGCAATGGCCTCAGGGTAGGGGAGGTCACAGTCTGCTTACAGGGGTCCTTAGAGCTTTTTGCACAGGCCTGCAGGGCTTGTACACGGCGCAACATACTGAGTCGAAACAACTTTATCAAGCCTGACCCAGAATTCAAAATCCGTATTTTAGAAGCCCGCAAGCACCTGGCAATTGTCGAGATATCAACAGGTTTTCTAGTAGCATGAGTAACATGTGTCACCATCATACAGGGGGCCTCCAGATCAATGGGGCCCTCAGGTGAAAACTTGCAACGCCCAAGCACCGCCACGGCCACACTGTCTTGCCACTTGTCCGGTGCTCCGGACCAGCTGATCCCTACAACGCGCTCCATGTACTTTTTGGCGGATGGCTTCAGGCTCAGAAGCTGCACAATATCATAGTAAGTATCACCACCGCATGCATCCACACAAGCCGGAATAGCATAGCATGACCCTTCCCGAAGCACAGTTTTGATGTGCTGCTGGAACAACACTATGTCACCAGCAGTGTGGTTTCTGGCTTGCGCCGCTTCAGCAATCACCAATTCTTCACGGGAAACATCACTGAACATGATGTCCAGATTCTGGCCAGACACAAGCCTATGGAGTTCGGCCAGAGAGTTCCATTTCTCTGGCACCAACATCTGGAAATTTTGCAAGTGTTCTTCGAATTCATCTCTAAAGTTTGCCTGACGCGTGTCTGGATTTTGTCGCCGCCTGAGGGCCGCAGACACTGTGGCAGCCGTTGACGCCCGACTTCCCCCCATTTTCATGTTCACCAGATGATGACGCCCTTCCAGGCGTTGCATGCATACAAGGCTCAGCCCGTACGCAAGGGTTTCTCGAAACAAGTTTTGGGGCATTGCCGTGTCTCTACCCGAAGCCCATGCACGCAGTGATGCCAACAACGACCCTCGGAAAAAATCACCAGCAAAGTTGTTCACATTCAGCTGGCCAGCGTCAAACATCTGGCAAAGTTCAACAGCAAACGTGCGGCTCTGATGAACTGCGTGTTCTCTCTCTTTCCCTACCGGCTCAACAATGTAACCCAACAACCTCACAATACTCCAGGGGAAGGTTGAATAGTAAGAAGTCCCTTGCTCAAAGCGTAACAAAACCTTGCGCTGCGCGACAATGAATGCATTGGAGATCTCATCCGCTTTCCTGGGTTCCACTTTTTTCGATTCAACAACCCACAACGCTCAAACTAACCTTCCGAAGCCATATAAACCAAAGTAACCAGCGCCCAACACACACACACACCTAGACGACTATCTATGTCCTAGTACCTGAAACCTAAAAAAACGCCTTCCACCCAAGGCCCACGAGAACGTACTTAGTAATCTGAGGTTCTGTCGCCCCACGTCACCCATTTGTCTCAGCTTTTGCAAAGCTGATGCTGCCGGCTGATAGCCTTCCAGGTGTAGACTCTTCAACTCACGCGCAAAGCTTTTGGCTTTGCCGCAAGCCAGTTCGATCAAGCGTCTGCCATTCATAGGGCACTTGTGCTCAAAATTGGCGGTTGGCTCTGACTCTGACCCTGGCTTTCTCTTGGTGCCTCTGGTCTTGGGCTGCAGCTCCTTGTCGCGGTGGGCTGGGCAAGGGCAAGCATGCACCCATTTGTTCGCATTGAAGGCCCACGACTGTATGATGTAGGCTGACCAAAACACAGCCCAGAAGATTGCTCTATCAAGGCCGGCAACTGCAAGCCTTCGCAGTCCCTCACCCTCTGCCTTGGACAAGTCGTCCTCTGGGTTCTTGTTTGCCCCTGCACGCGCGACCTCAGGTTCAAGCCATTGAATCAGTGCTTCACGCCTCGCGAGCCAAAGTTGTACCTCAAAAAGGTAATGCCATCGAGATTTGCAGTAGGAAGGGCACGTTGATGAAAACATAGTACTTAGAGCCTTCTTGGCTTGCTCGGGAACATTGTCATTCTCAAGGATGTTGGCCTGAACATAGAGTTCGATGTGGTCTCGTTTCGAGAATACTTTGGACAGGGCACTTAATTGTGAGTCGAAAGTAGACCATAGGCTACCATCGCCCGACATAGCAAGGCCATCTTCCAACTCGGCCATTGTGTGGTGAAGCATATGATCCCAATCAGCCAAGGGGGCTGATTGTGGGAAAAGTTTGCAGTTAGCTTGGGGGTCATGGTTGGCATCAGGAGGAATGCTGAAATCTGGAAGGAGCCACATACCGGATTCGACCCCCATATCACTCAAAAGTGACCGCACTGAAAGTCGTGCCGCGGTCACATCCGAATGTTCCAGCGCCAACATCCTCAGAGTTGATTTTGCTTTGTACACCGTTGACCCTCTTCGCTTTCCCAGAACCTGTAGAGGAAGCAATCTCATGGAGAGGTCCACGTTGGCGAACCTCAGTGGGCCGGGGCTTTAAAGGGTACTGATTGAACGGGGAAGGGCAACCGTGGGAGCCACCTCAAAGAAACAAACCCCAGATGCTTTAAATTCTGAGAAGGCCAGGTTGCACATCATCAATTTTGTCAGAGCAAACTTTCGAAATATCTATACGGTCGAGCTCGCCAACCAGGTAGTTACGAGCAAATTGCGGGGAGCTGTCGAGCCGGAGGTGTGTGTGCCACGGTGGCAGATCACTTGAAAATAGGTGTCTTCTTGCCCATAACATTGAACAGAAGTCTACATTTTGGCGGAACTGATAGAGAATTGATTTCTTGGGCATACGAAAGTCCCCGGCCAAAACGTGGCTTGCTAGGTCGTCGTCCAAGCAAATCGATAATGACCTGGGCAAGCCATCTGCAACAGTAGATTGTAGACCGAACACGCGCGCAGCAAAAGACCTGCCCGCTGAATCACTTCAGAATTCTAAGGACATGACTGCCGAACGACGGTCTGGAGCAAGCCTGATTCATCTTCGTTCGAATCCACTAAAGCTTTCAGATTGTCTGCTAGCAACACACAGTCAAGCACAAAGAGTGGACGGTACTGGGTACCTCCTGATTGTGAGGCACGCTTCTGCAAGCCACTAGCTGGTCGTAACGTATTTTGCATTGCTAGAAGACCAGTCCTGACCCTCTCAACGTTGCCCGCGTCCAAGTCCCTGAGCATTTGCCCGAATGCCATGGACACAGCTGTCTGTTGTTGGTGCACGGACGCTTTCGGCTCAGCCGTGGGGAAATCAATCACAACTCTGACCTCAAAGCGGTGTTGATTGCAACTGTCGTTTTCAAACTCTACGCATGCCAAAGGGATAACTTGATATCAAGCAGCCTGCTCCCATCGAATGAGGCCAAATTGTTGCTGCAGTTCAAGAAATGGCTTCCCACCGAAATGCATATCCTGAGCGACTGGCAACTCTTAACCCCAAACCCCATGCAACGCGAAGTTGTGAAGTACACTGCCCCCAAGGTCCCAACTCCCCAAAACCTTGATGATGGAACTAGACTCTGTACCAAGCGCTGCAAAAAGCCGCGCGTCCTCCCTCGGCAGGAAGGCGAAGCCTCTTCGCCCCTTCAAACCCACAACGCTAGCGATGGGATCCTGCAGGCTCCCTCTGAATTTGACATGCAGCGGCTTCCCTACTCCAGGCGGCGTCTCCAAGACCAAGCGCAGCAACTCAGTATAGCTGCTGCCTTTCCGATTCACACACCAGCATTCGAAAGTAGGTTGGTCCGTCTGTGCCGGCACCAGCACATGCGACACATCAGGCCCTTGCAGCTGAGAAAGCATTGCTGCACCCTGAACTGGCTTAATGTGTCCGACTCCCGCCTGTCATGAGTTATCTCATGTTGCAAACGCAGTATACGTTCTGATCTCTGCTCTCATGTTGCAATTTCCTATCTCTGCCAAAAATCATGCCGCTTATGGATGAGGCCCGAGAGCGGCCTGAGCAAGCTGCGGCGTTTAGAAGCCGATGATCATGACCGTTGCCTAAATCCTCCACAGCGGCAATCTGAACGCAAACCTGCCTCGATCAGCAACACACACTGCGTCAGTTATGAAATTCAATCAGACAACGCATCGAAGACTGAATCAACCCGCGTAGCCCACTCCACATTTTGCCGAAATGGCGAGATGGAATTAGTAGATAGGGAATGTGATTATTCGCCA